CCACTGGAGGACCCCGAGCTACTGCTTGTTGTCTCCATGGCATTGTGTGATTGCTTCAATTTTACATTTTTGCTACTTGTTCCATTAGTCAACTGTTGCAAAGGCTCATCGTCGCTTTGACGTCGTCGTTTATTTGTCATCGTCGACGTCGACTTACTATTTCCATTCGTCGATATGTGCCCATTGCTGAGCTGTGCTGGCCGCGCCATTTGAGCACTATCCTCAAGCGCTCTCAGCGGCGGCTGTTTACGTCTGTTCTTAGCGCCGCTTGTGCTGCTGCTAACTAATTCACACTGGTTGCGTTGTGGATGTTGTTGTGATTGTTGCTTTTGTAGACGACTCATGTTGAGTAAAGTGAGCACTCCGCTTTGCTCTCTCTAAGTTGTGGACGCTATTTGTGATAATAACTGTTTAGGGCAATTTGTAGCAGCAGCTGATTATCATGATGCTTAAGAAGTGAAAGAGAGGAGACTGCTGAGTGTACGCGAATATTATTACGCTCGCTCTATATCTTTCTCTCTCTCTCTCTTTCTGTCTTTCGTTCTCGTGCGAGCCAGTCAGTCAACAATATGGTACAGTTTGGACTAGAGATGGGCGCGTGTCAACACAAATTTGAAACACGAACAAAATAACTTTTTTTTTTTATTTATTTTTTTTTCTTTTTATTTATTGATTAGTGTATTAAATGAACTAAGCTCACTAGACTTTATCGTACGTTGTATACTACAATATGAAAATTAGATGCGTAAATTTTATTAAATTTAATATTATTTATATAACTGAACTGCATTACGCTTCATACGTACACATTTATCACGCGCGCATCTCTAGTACAGTTTGAACACAAGTTCCGACTATAAACACTTTTTAAAAAATTTACTCACCTCAGAGTAATAAAAGGCGCAAATTTGTCGGCTACATCAACTAAGCACAATTGTACTTCCACTTGCTTAGAGACTTTAGTTGCCAACAATTTTTTCTTTTATTTTTAAATGTGCATACGTTGCCGTTTTATGTAGCTTTATTTTTTACACAGGAGTTTTAAAGCCCAGGCTTATATATTATTCAACCATTTGTTAATACAAATTTGTGATAATCACAAATTTCATCAATTGCGTTTTGCGCTTGCTCTTCGTATGCACTATTTTTCTTTTGCCTTTTTGCTGTGGGTCTTTCTTATTACGCTCGCTCACACAATCATGCATACAAACAGGCAGGCGTTTTTCGGCTACGTTTCACGGTTGTTTTGTTTTGACTTGCAGATTCTGCTGTGCAATAGGCCTCACTTGTTCAAAAATTCTTTTAACGATGAAATCGTGTTTAGTGGAGCTAATATTGAGATTAAATTTTGTATTTATATATATGTATGAGTGGGGTTTTACAAGTTTTTACCGCCGCTTTCTTCTTGACATACACACACGCACACAAAACCAACACCAATGCGGCGCGACGCTCTTTGCCATCTGCTTTGCGCTCTCATTCTTTGCCACTTATTTGCTGTTGCATCGACAATAAAGCACACGTTTCATTACAATTTATCAAATAAATTTCAACCTGCATTTTTAACAATCGGCTGCAAATGTATAAGACTAAAAGTAAATAGATATATTTACTTATTAACTCATTGGAATCTTTGGTAATTTCGATAATTTCCCGACAGCGCGACCGAACACATTGAAGTTATTTATAAAATGAAATGGTATGCGATGCAATCGATATTCGTGTACGCTTCCTGTATATCGATAGTCTACTTGACCAATTGGGCTCGATCAAATTGTTAATAATTATTTTCTGATCGATATGAAAAATAAATGAAATGCCTTTGTATTAACTAAATAAGTCAGAATTACTTGCAGAATTTTGATAATATTTAAGATGATAAAATTATGCATAAATTCATATCGAACAATAGGGTTTCCCTGTAACAATTCACAGTAAATCAGCTGAGAAATAACACTTACATATTAAAACGAGTTCAATAAATTTCTAACGTTTATCGACAGGCCACCACAAATGGGATGGAGTGTTTCTGTTAACACTAAAATTAATAATGTACTAAACTATATTTGAATTCGTTTACTGTAATTTTTAAAGATATTTTGGCATAATGTTATTAATATTTAATCATGATGTCTTGTAATCTTTTCCGTTCTAAATCTGGCACACTGCAATCGTCCGCCGCATAACCGACAGCAAGTAGAATTAATAATTTTTCGTTACTGGGCCGATTGAGTAAGCGCTTCAGGGCCGGACCACAATTAAGGGGCGTAGTGACCAGCGAACAAAGCCCAGCTGCCTGGAGAGCACATAATAGTATTCCGGTTGCAATGGACGTTGATATCTCATTGTAGTAATGCAACTTCTTACGTCCATCGACCGTTGTGCCGTACGTTTGCTTAAATATTAAAATCAGATAAGGCGCATCCGTCAAATATGGCTTAATTGCGTTTGTCTGCAAAGGCCGTAAATCCGTCACCCACTGTGCGTGCATTCGTGTGCTGTAGTTAATATGCTCTTCATGCTCGACAATATCCCGCACATCTTGCTTCACTTTCATTTCTTCAATCACACAGAATGTCCAAGGCTCCGTGTGTGCTCCACTGGGTGACGTTCCAGCAGCACGAACGCAATATTCCAATACGTCTATAGGCGGTTTACAATTGGCTTTAAAGGCACGCACACTGCGACGATCATTCATCAGCTCATAGAAACGTCTGGCACCATTCGGATTGAGATTCTGCCCAGGAGCGTATGGCACATGTGGCTTCTCTTCCAAAGCTGGCTTGATGTCGGCATCGATCATCTCGAATTCGACTAGAAAGTAGAAATTAAATTGCGCGACCTTTTATATATGTATGTATAAATATCTCCTACCTGCAATATGCTCTTCCCCCGCCAACTTTTCCGCCTGTCGCCTTCGGTAAACATTGATGTATTTAATTACCATTGCGATGAGAAAACCGAAAAGAATGCTCGGCCAATGCTTGAGTAACTTTGAGCTGCTTAAAAATGCTTCCATCTTGCCTTACAGCTGTTGGAGAACTGAGAAGCGATAGAAACTCTCGCTTATCTAATTAAACTTGGTCATGGCCGAGTCGGGCTGCTCAGCGACTGATAAGATATTTAATTTGCGAATTTAGCGGTTGACTCCGTTCGCACAGTATGGACAACTGTTGCTCGAGTTTCGCAAGCTTTGGGAATTATGTGCACTGCTCATACTGGTATCACAAATATTGTAATAGGCTTCGATGGCAGTCTTACGATATTGGGTTTGCGATGGCTCGCCCTTTTTGTAGATCATTTGGCGTTTGTTTACCTCACGTAAGATCTCAATGATACGCCACTTGGCATCGAAGTAAATGCAATCTGGCGCTGAACTGAGCTCAGTTCTAATCATTTCGCATAGCGTTTCCAGCTGATGGCCATTATTCTTGGATGATCCACTGCGCTGATCCTGACTGCTGCGTGGTCGGGGAAGTCCACTACCTGAACCTGGCCTATTGAGGATGGCAATGCATTTCGGTTGCTGATTTCTGTTGCAGAGATTGCTACTTAACTGGCCACCTTGGCCAGCTCTTTGTAGTTCCGATTCGGATGTTTGTATTTGAACAGTTGCTTTCTGCTTCTCTGCAGAAGTCGGCTTCTGAAACACCGCGCTTGCACGCTCGGATTTTGTATTTTTGTTATTTAATACCGTGTCACTTCTTGATYTATCTATCTTCACTGATTCCGTTTCATTTTTAGATTTATCTATCATCAGTGGTTCCTCACCCGTTTTCGATTTGTCAACCTCTTGCGCTTCTGCATAATTTTTCGATTTGAAGCTCTTTTGTGATTCGGTATATTTCTGTCTTTTGTCTTCATCTGCATTCTCTTCGTTTTTCCACCTGCTTTCTTTTCTATTCTTGAGTTTCATTGATTTCTTTTCGTTATTTGGTAATGACACATTTTGTATATTTTTGGATTTCATTCCCACAAATTGCGATCCTGGCACAGATGAAGCGCATTTATTTCGCAGACTCGCGATGCTGTACGGCGCCAGCTCTGAAGTCGAGAGTACTTGGCTACTTTGAGTGACAAGGGAGGATACATCCTTGCCCGTATGTTCGTCCTCAGCTCCCTCCCTGCTCGTACTGATGAAAGGCACTAGAAATAGAAACTCATTGTAGTATTTAATTGTGGGCATCAAAATGTCACCGTGGTTGAGACGCGCATCCTGAATCAAGGCATATTCACGTTCAAATGCCGTGCGCAGCTCCGTAATCGTAGCTTCAATCTGTGGCCCAGTTTGGTTTTTAAAAGACCGCGCTATGTCCGAATAATATATATTCTCGATTTGCTTGTTGCCATATTGTGAGTTGTGGCGATTATAGAGATTTTCGTATTTCGAATATAGACCAATCAGACGGCGTGTATCGTCGTCACTTAGAGGAGCATTGGGCTGATTAATTTCCTTTTTATTTGGCTGTCCTCCTTTTGATTTGCTGCTAGATCCGAATTTAAAAAAGCCGCGGAAACCTTTTGATTTATGACTTGATTGAACTACAGCACCTTCTTTTATAGGGGCTTCCACTGCGTCATCGGTAGTGGCGTTAGGTACATCTTTACTGAACCTTGACATCGTTGGCAGTTCTTGTGTCTTCAATCCGGAATCTGAAGACTTGAAAGAGTTGGGTTTGTGTTTTTGTTCCATTCTCTGCAATCTGTCGTTTTAGCAGATAAATATTTGAGTTGGAGTGAAGATTTGGAACAAAATCGTTTAACGGTAGCAGCATTTTTTACTGTGACAAATTTGGTAGCATATTATAAAATAAAGTTAACAATTAAATTACAAAATTTGAATATTTTTAAATGAATTTTGACTGCGCACGTCTTACAATTTATCGACAATTCTTTCAATGCAACCCTAATCAGTGTTCATACAGAATTTTTCAGCACTCAAAAAAAAAAATCATTTTATAGTATTAACAGATAAAAATATTTATCTTTCACATTTATCTTTTAATTATTTAATGCTAACAACTGATTAGAAACCACGAAAGTTATGAATACTGTTAAGTCAACTGTTAAATAACAGCTGTCCCTCATCCAAGTCTGTAAACAGGCCATGGGGCAACAACAAACTAACAAAAACAAGTTACGTGAAATATAAATGGACTAATAAGCAAAAAAAAGTAAATGACATGGCCAGCCGTGCGATTACAAAAGCACAGAATTCGTTCTAGTCGTACAGTCATCGTCAATTAAACTTGTTATTTAATTGAAATCCAGAGCTAGCTATGTGTTTGGCACTGCGAGTTTAGCATGTGACGTTCCTCGTAGCAACAATCATGTACTATTTGCTGTCAAATCGAGCCGGGAGATGTTAATTAAATGTTATAGTTCCACTTTAAATTTATTGAATTCAAAATATTAATATCAATTTTATATACAAATCATATGTTTCGTCATTTCGTAAATTCGTGCATACTCAATCTAACGTAGACCAACATTTACATAAAAAGTGCAATAAATCAATGCCCACCAGTGAGAAGGCGGAAGTGACCAAAGCTGACACAACAACAACAACAAAGAGCAAAAGACTGAACAGCCAATTCTAACGGGATTTTGGCACAAGAAACAACAACAAACAGTAAAAGAACTTTTGCTTTACATTTAACGTTGATTTATTAAAATTAACAACGGAAAAATGGATGAGGTTTTCTCACTGCACATGGAAAAGCTCGACGTCTACGACGGTTAGTAAAGGGAATAATCTAAAAATATGTAAATAATATTAGGTAAATTAAGATTAATTGTTCGTTAGTCATTTCGATTGGGTGATGTCGTCAAATCGTCGTCGTTGTCCTCATCAGAGGATCTTAAAATCTCCTCGATTATTGGATCCTGTTCTTCGCTCTTTATGCCTTGCATGATCAAGCTCCGCAGATAAATAATTTTTTCCTTTTCGGCCTGTACTCTTGTCGCCAGTTGTAAATTCTCCTGTTTTAAGGCATTGATGCGCCCTCTGCGTTCCTCGGCAGTTTTCTTAGTTTTTTCACGCGTGCGCTGCACAGCCTAAAGAAAAATAAATCACAGACAATAAACAGAGTGCAATAATTTTTAGATGCTATTTCGGGGTCGCATATCTAGGCTAGCAACATTGTTGTACATTGTATTTACATTTACCTCATTATTCTTTTTTCTTTTCAACTTGTACGCGGGATCCTGCATCTGTTCATTCGCTGTCGCATTGCCGGTGCTGGTTGACGCTTTTGCAGTGTTGCTCCTGGCTGGCATTCTCTCGGTGATAATATTAATTTGTATTTAGTTAAATGCTGCTTCGTTTTACTAGATAAAAATGTAGACAGCAAACAAACGCAAGTCGTTGTGAAATTACAACGCGAATGATGTACCAAAGCGTAATTGTAAAACATATGTGCCCTATTGGAGCAAGTGTTGGAAAGCGAGCTGCTGTCATTGCCTATCAAATAAAATAGAGATGCGGTATTATACAATTAATTTATCGACTTGAGTAAGCTATAGAAAAATACAACCTTCAAGAGGACTTTCAACAATAGAAAATTAAATTAATATCTACGTCCCCGAAGCATATATTGTTTTGCTCACAACATGGTATTATTTTTGCCGATATGCGAAAACAACAGAACTATAAGTTAATACAATTTGTTTGTAAAGACTGATTTCTTGTATGTAGTTAATTAAGATAAATAATTGGAACGTAATAAATTTTAATGTGGAAACAAAAAAGATGTAAATTATTTGAAATGTATTAATTATGATTGAATAAATATTTTTTAAATCAAACTCGTGAGTTTTCCGAGTTTCTTGTTTGTTTCTTTTTATCGATAACTACGATTGCGAATCGTAGTGTTTTCAAACACTTGCAAACTTTTTTTGCTACCGGCTTGAAAAATGTCTTCGCCTGCACCTCCAAAGTCACCTGAATTGTCAGATAAAAGCAAAAAATATGATAGACAAATCAGGTAAGTCTGTTAAAGTTCCAAAACAAAGTGATTATTGTAAAATGGCATCAACAGGCTGTGGGGCGATCACGGGCAGGCATTACTAGAGGCAGCCACAATTTGCGTGGTAAACGTGACGGCTGTCGGCTGTGAGACAGCAAAGGGACTCGTCTTGCCGGGCATTGGAGGCTTCACTGTGGCTGATGGCAGCACTGTCAAGGAAGAGGACTTGGGCAATAAGTAAGGCAGTGATAGATTTTAATTCTTTGGAGTATTTTAAAGCTGGAGAATAGCTTTTTTCTAGATAATAGCTTCCTCGGTAAATCGAAAGCATTTGCTTGCAAACAGCTGCTACAGGAGCTCAACCCAGATGTCATTGGAGATTATGTAGATGAAAGCGTTGACTATATCTTGGCAAACCGTCCAAATTTCTTTGATAGCTTTGATCTGGTGATTGCCTCGAATCTCAACGAACAGTCACTTTTACAGCTTGCGAACCGACTGTGGGAGTCCAATGTACCGCTCGTCTATTGCCGCTCACTTGGCATGCTGGGCTCTATACGTCTGCAAATCAAGGAACATTGCATTGTAGAAACTCATCCCGATAATCGTCAGTTTGATTTGCGCCTAGAGCAGCCATTTCAAGCATTGCGTGATCATTTGGAATCAACAGAAGTTACGAGTAAGGTGCCCTGGCTTCTTGTGCTGTACAAATATCTAAAAGCTTGGCAGAAAGAGCATGGAGCCGGGCGACTTGCGCCTGGCAGTTACAAGGAGAAGACTCAACTGCGCGATGCAATCAAAGCCGACATGCAGAAGGATGAGGAGAACTACGAAGAGGCTATAAAGGCAGTTAATACTGCATTTGGGGCTGGAATGGTGCCAAGCAACCTCAAGGCCATATTCGACGACGATGCCTGTGAGCAGTTACACAAAAAGGTAAACCATCCAATCTTCAGGGGCTCACAGCAAATAATAATAATTTCGCTTTCKTAACAGAACGATGTCTTTTGGATAATGGCCAAGGCACTAAAGCATTTTGTAGTGGAGGAAAATAAGGGCTATTTACCCCTGCCAGGCGTCTTGCCCGATATGACGGCCAACACAGACTCATATATAGCATTGCAGCAAATCTATCACCAACAGGCGCTGCATGATGCCGATCAAGTGTACCACAAATGCCAGGAATATCTGAAGCAGCTGTCACTGCCAGCGGACAGCATAGACGATCGCACTGTGCGTTTGCTATGTCGTGAGGCTGCAGGACTGTCTGTGATTCGTGGCACCCGCATTGCCGATGAATATGAGAAGAACTGTCGCCTGCTACCACTGGGTAGGTGTTTATATAGTAAAAAGCATATCTCGCCAATAACTGTTGATAGTTTCTCAATGCCTGCAATGAAGTCTCTGAGAAAAAAATCAAAGAGCAAACGATGGCATCGACGAGTTCCAAGTCTTTCGTATATGTATTGTATAAGAGAGTTGTGTCAACTTGTAACCCTCTCTAACCGATGATCATGTAAAGAGAGTCAAACACGAGCAGAACCGAAGTCTTTGAAACGCTCAACTGTTATTTGCAAACTATCGCACAAATATATAAATTCCTTTAGTATTATATTTTATTGCTTTGCAGTGGAGGACAATGAACTGCAGGGCACTTTGACCGCCTACAATTTCGCTCTGCGGGCATATGAGCGTTTCCTAAGCGAGTGCGGAAGCATACCCGGTGAGTGCTCCGTGGAACAGGATATTGTGCGACTAAAGAGCATCACCAGCAAAATGCTCAATGACTTGGGCTTGCATGTGACCATCAGCGATGATGTGTTGCACGAAATATGCCGCTACGGCGGCGCCGAGCTGCATGCTGTGTCCGCTTTTATTGGTAAATCAAATGCTATAGTAGATAATCTGTTTAATTTATTAATCAACCTGATTTTGCTTGCAGGAGGTTGTGCTGCACAGGAGGTGATCAAGATAATTACGAAACAATACAAGCCAATCGATAATACATTTATCTATAATGCTATTAGCACTGAAAGTGTTACGTTACAGTTGTAAAGAAATTCCTTAAAAATGGTTGAGATTTTTAAATTAAATTGAAAAACTTACCGCATTTGATATACAAAAAATAAGAAACTCGTTTCCCAATCATTGGGTAATTTTATATTTATTAATCATATGACGGCTTATGTCCTAGATATTGTAAGCATTAAATTACACATGTTTATGCTGTGGTATCCTTTGAATAGTACTATGTATGTGTGTGGGTATTGGGACTTACAATATGCACGTACGCTATTTATAGTTGCCCCGACCGCATTCAATCCTTTTGCATTCATCATCATGTTATCTTACATTCCTGTATTTTATTTATTTATTTGATTTGGTTGTCTTTCTTGTATTTTAATTTATCATATGCGGCTTCGAAATTCGTTGGCATCATTTGCGCCACACGCAAATCGCTGACTTATTTAGTAACATTAAATTTATGTGCGCTTTTACATGTACAAATCGATGCTAACCAATATCAAACGAATAAATGAATAATACACTTCATCATTTTACTAGGCATTCACTTATAGTATACTTGCTTATAACAACAATTCAGTTTATTTATTTGAACTTATTTCGTTTTAATTTAAACTTAGTTTTTAGTTATTTCTAATAACTTCTCGCTATGTGTTTGTCTATACAAAAATCTTTACAATTAATTAACAAAAATGTACATAAGAAGACTACCAGGTGAACAATTTATGCCTATATCATATTCATTCATTTATTTATATATAACACACATATACATATATACCATATATATGTCTGTATAGTTAGGCGACCTTGTTAACTTTACCTGGATGTAAACACGGTTGTGCTGGCGATCCAGCGCAGCAGCAGTAGAAAATACAGTCCAATTATATATTGCCAGTTGGCATGTGCACCACCGGCACCACCATGATGCAGCTCAGCGAAACTTTCGCCTAAGTGGAGTAAGGGTATAACAAAGATTTATTTCATTTGTATAGTCATCTATACTTACCATTTAGTACGTGCACCACTATGGTAAAATTTTGATATTCGCTAATGGAACAGGTGTAATTGCCCGAGTCGGCCTTATGAATCTTAGCGATGGATAAGGTGGAATTCGCCCCATCTTCCATCAGTTCAGTTTTAACACTAGGAGTAGAGGAATTTCACATGATATATGGGTAATTTACGATCTTTATTCGATAGCTACCTAACTCCACCTCGTGTTACATCATAGTTGAGCACATTATCGCTATGTTTCCAATATACAACGGAGCTGGTCATGGCCACATTTCGCACCACGCAGGACAGCTGCAGTGTGGAATCTATTTCATAGTATTTCTCCTGCAATGGATCTCCGTATTCATCCACAATCATCACCTTCGGAGCTGCGAAACAAGTCAATATTGAAATCAAGTAAATTTTCATTTGTTTCTTTGTATTTCTTACCATTTACATGCAAATTAATTTGGATAACGCGGGGCGGATGTGTTGAGATCTGGCATTCATATGTCGCCTCATCGTCTTTTTTGACATTGATGATTTTCAGACGCCAATTGTTGGGATATTGAAATTCCATTTTATAGCGCTTATCACCGGTGTAGGCGTTCAGGCCCACAGTTAGCAAGTCCAGAGCATTCTCCTCGTTCTGCGCACTGCGACGCACCCAGGAGACCTGTCAAGGGCAATTTCTTGTAATTTGTTGTCTATAATCGCATTCATTCTATTACATTGCTGGCTACTTAAGCTTACATTATTTATGAGAATTGCATTGAGGGGCGGTAATGTTGAGGCATTGAATTATTGTGTACATACATTGAGAGGATTATTGAGTAAGTTAACAATCATCGGTTCTCTCTGTCTCTCGCTCTACCCCCTCTTTTTCCCACTCATTCTTTCTATCTTACTCTTTCGCTCTTTCTTTCTCGCTGTCTAACTCTCATTCAATCTCTCCCGCTCTCTCTCTCTCTCTTCCTCTCTGTTGACTCTTTTCTCACTTCGCTCTGTTTATGTCTATGTCTTATTTTTCTCATTTCTTGTTTATTTTTTTTTCTCTTTTCTAATTTCTCTCTGACTATTTCCCAATTACATGCGCTCTCTCTCTATTGGTCCCGCATTTCATATTTTATATCTACTGCCCTTCTATGTGAGTCTCATGGAATTTAAGCTTCTGCTTTTTCTTACACAACTGGCTAAGCTTAAGTAACTGCAAGTTTTATAGTATATTCTCGCATGATGTCATAAATTTATAAGCAGCACTGCTCCATTTGACATATCTCAGAGCCTTAAACTTGTTTCGTAAAGCTAGACGAGTTTATAGTAAGTGGCTATGCTTACAGTCTTATCTTGCAGCAATGAAATTCTGCAATTTAAATGAATGCTGCTACCCGCCTGAACAGTCATATTTGTTGGTTGTCCGACGCGTTGCACGTCCTCGAAATGGGGCCCATATCTGTAAGGAAACCGAGCATATGTGATGTAAGTAAAAGGTAAACACATGTATATATTTATGTATGTATGTATATGTGTGTAGTGTGCATTTTTATTGGTCAGCAGGTGTATGTAAGTAAGCCTACACAGACACATGCTCCCGTTGGTCTGTGCGTTCTTATGCTTAATGTTTATTGCTTGTAGCGAAAGTCTTAAAAACTTAAGTTTTCAAAATGTTTTACACAGCAACCCAAACGACCTTCAGTTAACTGCTGCTCCTCAGTATGGGTGGGTGGAGCATCGATGGTGTGTGTGTTCCACAATTATATGGTTGAACTATTGCATAAAGTCTATTTACAGTTAAACTATTAAGCAAATTATTGATTTGCGGTGTAATTAGGGTAAGCTACAGAAACTATAACCTATAATTTAAAAGTTTGCCTAATAGAGCTGAACGGAAAAACTTTTAGAATATATAAAGTTAAGTATACATTTTTCTTGTAGATTACGGATAATCATATGGTTATATAAAATCCATTTGGAGCATAAAAATAATATAAGGAACACATTAAAAATAAGAATAGTTATATTCAGTTTTATTTTAGAGGCAAATATTATAATTGTGCTTGAAGATGAATGCTGGAAATTATTTTCTCCAGATGTTATATTAAATATTTATATATAAACCTACATTAATTTAAGATTTGGTTTTTGGTATTATTCAAACATGACTTCATAAAACATACTAAAAGTATTATAACAAAAAAATCGAGCTCTAAAAATTATAATTAATATGCCTATACATATGTGTAATTATATATTACTCGGTAAATTTATATATAAATTTTGCCAAGTTTTTGAGAATAAAACAAAAGCGTTAAGAAAACTTTCCAGACTTCAAAAACTCAAAGGAATTAAATCAAGTCATTTGACTTTCTTTTTTTTTCTGCCTCAGTTAACTTAATGGTAATATACTTTTCGCAAAACCCACCTCTGATCGTGATGATGATGTTTGTTGGATGCAGAGTGAGTATCAAAGATATAGTTGAGCATTGGTGCATCGGTTTTCTGCTGCTTGGGCAATATGTACTTGCTCTCGACCTTCTTGGCCGAGGTGCGCACATGGGTCTTGTTCGTTCCGGTCGCTGTGGCTAGGGTTGCGGCTACCAACGAGCCATTTGTAGCGACCTGTTGGCTCTCTGCATTAGTAGCTGCTGTGGGCGTGGCTGTTGCTGGAGCGTTTCCATTGACGCGCTGTGAGCCAATTTGCTGAAATGTGGCACCACCAGATGTGGCGCCACCCATGCTGATGGCATTCTTCTGGCTTGGTGCGTTCTTTTCGCGCTGCGCTGCAGCCCCAACGGCAGCTGGGGCTTTGGCTGTTGATGTTTGGTATGAACTAAGCTGCGATAAGGACAATAAATCTTGTGTTTTTGCATTCATTAGTTGTCTGCCAATGGATGCTGCGGCCGGCGTGGCTGCCGTTGCCGTTTTCGGTTCTGCTCTCTCATTTTGTTTCTCATTTGTTGTATTGTGCCAGTGCCGCTGTTCCATCTCCGTCTCCGTCTCCGTGTCCATCTCCGTCTCCGCCTGCGACTCCTGGCCCTGTTCCATGGCCATGACGTAATCCTCGGCCGACTTTTCAACGTCATCAGCATCGGCATCAAAGCCAATATCAGCCTCGACAGTGGCAGCAGCTGCTGCGGCTGCTCCCGCAGCGGCATAGGAATTATCGATTTCATTGGAATCTATGTCGCATAATGAAAGACAAGCAAAATTGAGTTTAAGGACATTTGGCCAACTAGTTTGATGAACAAATTACACGCTCTCTTTTGGCCGCATTGTTGTGACAGCTTTAAGCCGTATGCCAATGTTGAGTGAAATGATTTAGTTGGGACTGTATGATGTATTTGTCTATATATGTAGTACGATAGATCTTTTTAGTGTAGTGTAGTTGTTTAGCAAATTATAGTTGATATTTATTCAAGTTTAACCATTTTATTATGAAGATATGATGTGTTTTGTTTTTGAGTAGTTATAGAAAATATCTTTTCACACACCTATTCTTCCTTTTCTAATATGTTATTATTTTTTTTTTTTATTAAAATTTTCATTTGTATGTAAGCCTTACATATTTTCTACACTAGACTTAAGCAGGTCTTACTTGATATTTGCTTCATGTCTATAAAGAATGAGATCATATATGTCATATGAGATCTATATAACACTACAATATTCCATACAAATTTTTCATTTAAAAATTCAACTCCTCAAGAATTTTATCCCATCTTTCTGCAATGCAAATTCCCTACTCTTGGCCTTCCTTTCCATCTCTGGAGCACTTAACAAAAGCTTTCTAATTCTCAGCAATTTGTTTCTATTCAGGGTATTTAGTTTTCGTCACGCCCACTCATATCTTTGTTTCTGCATCTAACTGAGACTTGATTAATATGCTGTAATAAAGTTTCAGCATTGACGGGAACGTTTTTTTCTTTTCTTTTATTTTATTTTTTTGTTTTACTTGCTTTTTCGTGGGGGTCAACTGTGTTCGTGTTAGGTTAAAGCTGGCTACGATTTCGAGTATTTCCTAAGCTTTCAAAAAATTACTTTAGAGATTAATGACTCTATAAATAACAGGCTACACGTCAATGATCTTGCTTTAGTTCAGGTCAGGTTATTTCTTGCCTCCTTTATTTATGATGCGTGTTTAACACATAATAGCCGGGAAACATATAATAGAACCTGGTAACAATTGCTAACTGCTTGCAGCAGGTGTTTGTTTTATTTAAGCGAGCCAAATTGGAGCTCTTAAAAGTATGCTACTTGTTATACGCTCTTCGGATTCATTAAAGATTCATTATTGCAGCAAAACCTTTAGCAAAGTTTTGGTTTCGATAGACTAAAGTTTCAAGCATGCCTTAACTATGGCATAGTTAGTTGGGAGTTGAGTAGCGGGGGCGTGGCAGCTTGTTAGCAATTAGCAGATGTTAAAGGATTTGAGTTTGTAGTTTAATTAGGCTGGAGTAAGTGCCTAGGTGAGTGTTAATAGTTGCAATGAAACGTTTATAAACCTGAATCAAACAGAATTGTTGGAAATTCATTTATATGCATATTTTCATTATTCTTAAGCACTTAACTTATGGTTGGACCATGAAGGGTCTGAAACTGCCAACCATTATAAGTCTTAATTAAACAAAATTGATCGAACTTGTATATAATTATGACTTTTATTTCGCACTCAGTCTATTGTTAATATAAAAGAGTCTGAAATTGAATTGAAGCACAGGCTGAAGTCTAGACTGAAGTGCGTCTGTGGTAAATGAAGCATTCAGCTGTAACACTGATTAATGTCGATCTACTTTGCCTTTATATATTGTTAATGAAAGACCTCATAGTTAATTTGATTGTTTGACTGAGGTACTTTGACTCTTCAGAACTAGATTGTATTGAACTGCAACCTGCGGATTCCAGATCCCTCCTATCTGGCACGAAAAAATACAAAAAGTCCCCGTTCGGGTGGGCCTCAAGTTGCAAATCGAAAGTGATTTTATTGCAATACGCAAGCTGAGTGTGATGAGAGTGCTCCAACAATTTAATTCTTTTACTTCCCTTGCAGATGAAGAAATTCAAATGCCTTAACAGCGATTATGGGGAATTGACTTGCTGTGGCAGTCATCCAAGGATTAAAAGGCTGACTTCCAATCTTGCATGAGACAGTCAATTCAATTCCTTATGACTTTATTTATTTTTAGCATTTAACATCTGCTTTCTCAGGCAATTTAGGATATCCTGAACTTTAAAGAGTTTCCTGCTCATCACATCCTGCTCATCAATTAGCAACTGAAGCTTAAATTTAAAAAATGGAAAACTGTATTTTCTAGTTTAGTGATATTCTATGCACAGCCAGCAAATGAAGCTGGAGAGTGGAGAATATCCGATACAAAATGACAATGGTATTCCCAGCAGTTTAAAGTTTAGAAAGCTGGTGCCTCCGCCTAAATAAACCTGCTATCACATGCCTCTCGTTCCCATGAATATGTACACAACACAGGTAGCTTTGCAGGTGGTTGGTGGTGCAATTAGCAGTTGACAATCTATGGATGGCCACAGAAATAGAGTTGGTATATGTTGCTTACCGTAGCCAGCACGTAACGTGGTTGCCAGCTGCAGGGTGTGTGCGGGTGCGGGTGTGTGTGTGCTTAATTGAAATCCAGGTGTTGTCATTGTTGCAGCTGCAGCTGCAGCAGCAGCAGCAGCAACTATTGCTGCCTCCGCACTGACAGCAGCCGCAGCCAGCATCGAAGAATCGTAGTCTGTGGGCAACTCCTCCAAACGAAGGCGAGCGGGTTGGCCGTGGGTCAGGGCCATCGCCTGGGCCTGCAGCAAACCACTGCCCATGGCACTAGCGGTGCAAACGATGCTTGTTGTTAGTATAAATAATTGTATTAAATTGCAAATGAAACATTCAGTTTGGCGTGTTGTCGCACTAGTTGTTGTTGTCGCTGTCGTCGTGGTTGTTGTTGTTGTTGTTGCTGTTGTTGTGGTTGTCGCCTGAAGCGCTTGTTGTTTCGTTAGGGTTTTAATGCGTGTTGTTGTTGTTGTTGTTGCTGCTGCTGTCGTTGCACTTAAACGCATTTTGTATTCGTGAATTCCTGCGTGGAATTTGCCTTAACTAAAACACATTTCACAAACTGCATTTGAGCTCGTTGTTTTTTATACCACTTCGCCCTTGCTGCGCCACTTAATGCAATTGTTATTGTTATTGTTATTGTTTTTTGTAGTTTGTAGTTTTCAGTTTTCAGTTTTTAGTTGTTTAAATTGGTTTTGGTGTTTTGTTACATTTACATTTGTGGCTTGGATTGTGTTTTGGATTTTTAATAGCATTTACATAATTGAAAATTGTTAATTTATTAAGCATTTCTTTTGTAATTCAATTAAAATGTTTGATTTGTGGCTGTTAGTTTTAGTTAAATATTGGTTTATGCCTGAAATTAATTACAAAAAAAAAATTAAAATTTCAAATAAAATTGATTTGCGTATAACGGTGATGTGTCTGTTATGTTTTGCGAGTGACCCAAATAGAAGTTTTCTACAACAGGCAGCCAGACTGACTGACAGACAGACGAACAGACATGTGTTCGACTTGCCATGACAGCAAAGCCTCTTTACCATAAACTATTTTCTGTTTCATTTTTTTTTGGCCGCTTCTTTTATGCTGCATATAAATAAATATATATATATGAGTGTGTTATGCTTTCATTCGACATATGTATTTACATTTAGCTCACATTACACAAGCAACATAAAAGCTAAACAAAAAACACAATTAAGAACATTTTGGTTAGGCTCTTACGACTGCATAATACATAACCATAAAGCATACTCAAATATATATAAAGAACTGATGTTTGTCACGTAAATCTCTTGATAGTTTGCATAATGATCTGTATCTGTATCTGTATCTGTATCTGTATCTGTATCTGTATCTGTATCTGTATCTGTATCTGTATCTGTATCTGTATCTGTATCTGTATCTGTATCTATATTTGTATTTAATCTATATCCGTAGAGTAATGTATCCGCTAATCTTCCTTTATCTATCTATCTATCTATAGTTATTCTACCTACAGATCGAAATATCTGAATATCAATCTGTATGTATTGATCAGTTTATAAGAACTAAACACACGGTATTCTTTTTAGAAATAGTATTAGATAGTATTAGTATTTATATTCTATTAAATTAAATTAGTATTAAATTCTAAAAAGTTGAACAAACACAAGTTCCATTTTGTCCATCTAAAATAGAAGATACCTTGATTTTGCATTTTCAATGGGTTCAGAGTATAAATACATATTCAACAATTCAAGAAGCTACCTACACAAATAGACAAAAGGCAAAGAGGCACTCACAAATACTAGATGGACCTTGCATAAAAGCCAATAAGCTCATCTACGAAACTCTTCTAAACAAACAATTGACAAGGCAGGCTGCATGTTGTTCCTGTTGAATTTGCATTCATTGCAAATGCTCGTAATATGCAAGCTATGCTGATTTATAAAAATCAACAGACATAAGGCAGCTGTCCACTCAGACGTAAACATAAAAAACCGCAAGCTATTTGACTCAATTTGCGATAAAAATAAAAAATTGAAAATATGTTCGAAGCAGTCAAGAGTATTAATGGCTTTCTAGACCGAAACGGGGATTTGTATGAGGTTTTTTTTAGCCATCTTCTTTTATTTTGATTTTATCTTTTTATATCTATAGTTACATATATACACGTTTATATATATAAGAGATAGCCGAGTGTCTTAAAGAAATAATTTCAATTTCACAAACGGCGCCCACAACAAATTTCCTGGAGGGCATAAAAAAAAGAAGCGCGACAGCAAATCCCCTTTATGAGCAACGCCCAAATCGCGTTCCGTTTTTTGTTTCGATTGTGTTTAAGCGCTTTGAATTTAACGGAACGGAATATTTTTACTGTTTAACTTGGCACAAATCACTTGACAACTATAGAATATTTAATATGTGTATTATTTTTTGTTAGTTTTATTTATTTTGGTTTGTTTGTATTTATTTTGTTGTTATTACATTTTGATGGCATGCACAACGAAATTTGCATATCCTTTGCACGACAAAACTTTCGTTAGAATATGAAATCACATGGTATATTACACGCAAGTTGACTTGATTTTCTTTTTGGTTTTCTATAAACGCCTCTGCCATTCGACTTGTAGTACGACGTTAAGATGTTCGTTGTTCCGTTCTTGTTCAAGCGTTTTATTTCAGCCGGAGCGTGTTTTGGTTGGGAACGTCAAGACGCCGTTACACTTCGTTTATGACTGTCCATCTACAGGCAGCCAAATCAGTTGGATTGTTGAATTTGAATTGTTGTTGACTTGCCGAACTCATCAAAACAGCGAAATCTCTGCCAATGCCTCGTTTACACGCTCGGCTCTCGACTGGGGTAGGTTGGAGCAACTGAAAGCTTCATTCGTTGAGTTTGCCTTGTGTTGAGTTTCGGTACTCCGAATTGGCTAGGGGTTGGGTGGTGAGTAATTTAGGTATAAAGTCGATAAAGCAGTGCATTCAAAGGGGCGGAAATGGTTTTTAAATATTTTAATTTTGTGAAATTTATTTGAATTACATTTTTGGTAGCATCAGTGCTTGGTTTTGTGAAAAATAAAAGTCGAATATAATTAAATATTGTTAACAATTTTGTACACTTTCAACTAAGACCTCTCTGATATCTTAAATCTGTGAAATATTTTAGGTTGCAACATTTATTCATATAAATAAAAAAGTATATATTTCTGCTCTCAAAAATAATTGAATGTATATAAAAAATCTAAAATATTTAAAAGAAATTCTATGAATAATATTTGAATTGTTATTTATATTTAAGGTAATTCCTTAAATACCTTTGCGGAGTAGTCTACGCAGCTTATACTGTTTATTTTATAAGTAAAATCAATTAACTTATACGTATAACAGCTACAAACTGCCCACAGATGGCGCCACTGGCAGTACGCACAATTTTTATGCCTTTACGCACTGTTTACAGAGCGCACTCAGATATCTCTCTCGTTTTTTCTCTCTAATACGCGCTCTCGATTTAGGCCAAATCTCCACCTGGTGCTGTTGTGACTTTTGTGTTATCAGAAATGCTTGGATGCTGGTCGGTGGCAGACGTCCTTCGTCCTTGACAGAGTTTGACCGCAGGCGAATGCCAGTCAGTTTGCTGCAAATAGTTTAAAGTGCGAAAACGTCTCGGTTGAATGAAAAAATTTAAAGTTTCGCTCACAATATACATACACACGGTGGCCAAGGCACGAAATGTGAAAAGAATCAAACAAAAGCGAATATCGGCCAAGTCTTAGTTTGTTTTTTTATATATATTTTTTATAATTAAGACAAAGCAGCTAACAAAAGACAACTGAAGCATTCTAATGAATACCTAAGTATACACACACACATACACATACACACACGCATACTTATCCACTTCAATGTGAAAAGAAAAGTTGTTTTAGGTCAAACAAAAGAACAAAAAAATAAAAAGAAAACTTCCAAACGTTCGCAAAAAAATCTGACAAAATGAAAATCTGTTGGAAAAGCGTTTAAGGCCGCCCAGGAAAATTAAGAATCAATTAAAGCTGAGACGCGTAAGTAATTAATTATGCATTAATGTGCGTGTGTATGCATGTATATATATATGTGTGTGTGTGTATGTTGTGATTCCTTGCTGTTGACAGTTATGTAAAGGTACGAGTGTTTAGAAAATGGTTTCACTCTGGCTACACTTATATCTCGTTCAATTTGCAGGTGTCTACAGAGCTCAAAGTGTCAGTCAGTCCGTCAGTCCGTCAGTCAGTCAGTCAGTCAGTCAGCCAGCTGCATGAAAAGCTTGTTATCAGATCCTTCAGCTGGCATCAGGCGCTCGCCTCCAGTTGGGATTTGTACTAATTGTGCGGATGCCTTGCCTACTCTGTGTGCATGTGTGTGTGTGCGAGTGTGCGTATATGTGTATGTGTTTGTGTTTTCCTACAAGTGGCTGCTGTTGTTGTTCTATAAGATCTGTTTGCAGCTATTCTTGGCTTCTTGGCACTGACATTGTTGTTGTTATTGTTGACTCTTGTCTTGTTGTGTGCACAATTAGTTCACTGTACACACACACACACATGCACTCACATGGCGCATACTTGAACTGCGCTCTCTCTAAACAGCCCCAAGTCACACATAGATGACCTCACTGTACATTACACAAACAACAGGTGGATGTGGCAAGTCTTAACAATTGTTTACTATTGGAAACCCTCTAGTGTCTAGAATTTGTGTTTTTAGTGCTGCCGAGAGAATAAGATATTCTTATTCATAGAAAGCTATGAGAAAAGGGCGGACTATTCTGGTATACCAACTAGTTGTATGGCCTGTAGTAATTAGGAGTGGTTTAAGCCATGTGAGCTTAGGGAATTTTCGTGGAATAAAGCTGAGGTAACTACATAGAATAAGAGCTAAATACACAGAAGTGAATGGCTTATCACTTTAATTGAAGTATGAGGATGTATCCTGAGGGAAGAGCTCAGGGCCCATATAAAGGGAAGTGAGTGGGAAAGATATAAAGAAGCATGTAAAGGAATATAGAAAATAGATAAGAAGAGTTCGGTATGTAGAAAGTATATTTATGTATATTATCAGAAAATTATTTAATATCTAAGGTAAGAACTAAATTATGGATTACCTTTAGATCTAAAGTTGCTTATGGTAAGCTCAGGATTTCTGGTGGATTGAATTATGATTAGAGCAGCTAAATTGTATATCCCAAATAGTTAAGCTCAAGGCAAAGTTCTTCCTGTTTTATGTTTACCTAATGTGGGGTGAAATCCTTTGTTGGTATATATAGGCTTCTATATCTCAGTAGAAATAACTTTTTAAAAACAATTAATTGGTAGTTTACTCAGATATTATTACTCAGATAGTTTACTCAGATATTTTACTCTAAATATTAAAATTTAAATACAAGTTATTCATTTATTTGATTCAATTTCAATTTATTTTCCTCGTCATTTTCTCAATATTCTCAATATACAAATTTGAATGACATTTTATAGAGCTTAAATATTAATCTCAAATTTTTGCCTTCTTTGCCATTCGAACTGACATGCTTCACCCTCTAGAATTGCTTGCCAAACAATCGACCTGATTGTCACATTCAGAAATTCTTGACTAGCTAATGGCTGCTTTTGTCGTTTGTCCTGCAGCGTTGCATCCGTTGATGAGGAGCTGGTGGTGCTGTGCTATAAATACACCACAGGGCGAGACGTCAATGTGGCTGTAAGAATGCCATCGCGTCGCAGCGGTGGTGTTGGCACCACAAGGCGCAAGCACTCGCTGGGCAACCTAAGACGAGCCCATCCGGCCTCGGGTGCCACATGGAATGTGCAGGTGGTGCGCGGCAAGATGTCCTCGAAGTGCTTGTGGCACGCGTGTCGAGCGCTAATCCTGGGCCTGGCCTTGATGCTGGTGGGCGCCGGCATGGCCACGCTTGGCTACTATGCGGATCATCTGTCGATGGGCTCAGAGCTGCGCGGCAATGTGACGGTGCGCGTGAAGAACGATCTGAAGGGCTTCCATTTGAACAATTTCGCCTATGTGGGACCCATTGTGATGGGCTTTGGCGGCTTCATTGTGGTGGCCTCCTGTGTGATGACCTTCGAGGCGCGAGACTCGGCGGCTAAGGTGGTGCCAGCCAGACTACGAGCCGGCGCCGGTAGCTGCAATAAAACGACCACACGCAGCAATCAGGGCAGCTCCGCCTCTCAGCGCCGAGGCATGGGTAAGTCCTGGACGTGGCTTTGAGGCTGCCACAGCTGCTCATGGCATCCTCATTTTCTGCAGGTGCTCAATATCAGTCAACGCGCTGGGATCAGCATTTCGGCGTTTTTCGCTCCTCGCCTGGCGACCCACATCAGCAGCTGCAGGCGGTGGCTGGTGCACCCAGCTCTGGTCAAACGCAGGCGCAGCCCTTCGATCGCGAAGCTCTCACCGCCGAGCTCATCAACTTCTCCAAGTCACTCAGGTACTTAGCGCTAAATGTTACTGTAAATAGAATTCTTTAGCCATTTGACATTCATGGAAGCATCGCATTGTGTAAATTTTGTATATAAGAAATTTGTAAATACTCGCAATTGGCTGCCTCATTGCATATCTCTTTCTCTCTCACACTCACACACAAACACACACACACACACACACACTCTCTCTCTGTGTTTCTGTCTGCTTTTGCATCCCATCATTAGCGCATCCGCACGCTTCTCGCCAAAGCTGCGTCGCCTCACGTTCACAGGTTCCGTGCCCGATTTGTCCACCATCCATGCAAACGCTCATCCAAACGCCTGCCTCGACACTAATCACTCCAATCTGTTCATGCCGCTGGAACAACAATTGCAACTGCAACAACTACAACAATTGCAACAACTGCACCTGCTACAACAACAACAATACTGCTGCAAACGGCATCATCATCATCATCGCCATCACCAACACAAACAACGCAAACAACAACAACAATCCTGCTCGAGCAGCAGCGTTCGCCGTGTGCGTCCAAGCCGCAGCTCGGCGGGCAGCGGCTCAGTGGGCTTGGCTGGGGGCATTGGCGGTGCCGGTGGCTCCAATGCACGCCTCATCAGCAACTCATCCAGTTTGATCCAGCGCGCTACTAGGGAGCACTCCACCTGTACGCTGCTGCAGCCGCCTGCAGCGAGTCGCGTCTACTGGCAGGCCTCGTCCTTTGACGCCGGCATTGCGGCCACCCACAGCTCGGCCGGCAGCGAGAAGCGTGCCGAGCGTAATAAACGCTCGGATACGGCCAAGCGGCATGTGCTGGCGCGCCAGCGACCCATCGAGCACGAGGAGGCGGCGCGGGATCGCTGCAGTCCGCTGGGACACAGGCGGTAAGTGCAGTTTACAACACTATATACACTATGCAAGAGCTGACCAACACTGTTAGTGGCTACAAAGAAGCTTTAAAAGTATAACAAAAGCTTTTAGAAGCCTAAAGTGGATTAGATTATAGGGCTATGATTCCTGCTAGCTCTCTGTTATTATGTGTTTTAAGCACATTTTCCTTCAACTTTTCCCACCATTCCCTTATTCCAGCAACTCTACCATGTCGGATTCTTCATACAGCGGCCGCTGGACGGCGCGTTGTGCTTCGGTGGCGAGTCGCACCTCGAGCATTGATTCACGGCGCGTTCAGGTGGATCTGCATAGTCCGGAAGTGCTGCCCAAGTCGATACTGCGCTCGCCCAAGCGCTACAGTTCCGGTCCCTCGGCAACGCCATCCGTTGATAAGGAGTTCCGGTAAGTGTTGCATTCTAATCATCAGCATCATCATCATCATCACAGACACAAAAGATTTGCCTAACTGTCTGCTCAACTATGCACAACAGCAGCCAATTGTCTGTGTGCTCAGAGCCGCCTCCCCCCGTGCGTCAACTGTCTGGACAATCGAGCATGGAGCCGGCTGTGCCGGAGGAGAGTGTGGAGATAATCGATGAGCGTATGCCCATGGAGTGTGTCAGCAACAGCAACAACAACAGCCTCTGCAATGTCTCCTACAACGAGATAACGGAGCTGGTGCATCACACACACAGCTTGCCGATGAAGAAACAGCGGCCCGACTTTCTGCCATTGGACAGCAGCGCAGATCCGAAACAGCATCAAGAGCAACAACAGCAGCAGCAGCAGCAGAAATCCAATCCATCGACGCTCTATAGAAGCAACAGCTCTCGACAGTTCTATCGACCGAAGCCGGCCATTGCCAAGGATCGGGATGATTCGGTATTCTATATACGCTCGCTGGAGCGCGGCGGCAGCTCTGCGAGCAACGATGAGCACATGTACGACTCGTTGAAGGTCATCAATGAGCGCCGTTCCACGCTGCTAAAGGCGGATTCACAGAGCTCGCTGGGCTCCGCGGAGCGTAAGCTAAGCAGCTTTTCGCTCAAAATGCCAGACATAACGGAGCGCGAGAATTCTATAGATATAGAGGAGGGACCTCCACCGCCTCTTCCGCCACCTCCGATCACAACGCAGCCCAAGTTGGCTGAAGACTCACCAAGAGAAGAGCTTGAGCAAATCCAAAACGCAACCTAAACAAATCGAGATTAATGTAGATAATTATAAATGTGTCTGCTGTATTGATAAGGTGTATTGAATATGTAGTAACCGCTAGCCAACGACAGTTACTTTAGCACAGATCTATTATTATGTAATGTTCGACGATAGATGCGATTTTTGATAAAAATGCAATCCAAATTGTGACACCGAAAATTGAATTTAAGTTTAGCATAGAAACCGTCTAAATACGATCTCAACAAAACTACAAATTCTTCCCTTCGTTTTCTATGAAAAAAACATCTAAAAAGAGTGTTAGCTGTGTTATATAACGATTCTAACTAACTACGTATTGTTATCTGTGTTGCCATAGGCGCTAATCGATGTATTGAAGAACATAAAAAACAAGCAAATAATAACTATTTTATATGTCTATGTGTTAAATTGTTAATGAACTAAAGAGGAAGGTAGAGTCGATAAATATTATATTGTTATAATTTCGATGAGCTTGTAATAAGTAAGCTCTACAAATCTATATCCTGTTTCCCGTTTCCTGTTTCCTCTATGTAAACTATCTAAAACAAATTTCATGGAATAGCTATTCGAAATTGTATATAAGATACTATGTAATAATGCAATCAGCTTACAAGCGAAGACTGATGTTTCGTAAATTTATGTTCTATACGAAGTTCTCAATGGAAAATGTCAATTTTTGTTCAAATACAATGAAAAGCAATAAGGAATTAGAAAAGTAATATATAAAGCACGGAGTGCATATGTGGGCAACGAAAAGCTGATCATAATTGCAAGGAACATATGAGCATATTATGTTAAAAAAAGTGTTCCACAAAACCCAAATATCACCAAAACTCTTGGTTTTCTACAGTTGCAAAGCCGAAATATTAAATAAATCAAACAGAAAAGAACTTTCATCCGAAGTAATTTCCACCAACGTAATTATTGATAATCATATATAATATTAATATTATGTATGTATAAGCTTTTTAA